TCAAAATATATTTGCAAAACATTTACATTTAATTAGAAAATGTAGTTTATCAACAAACAAGTGAAAATTTTAAGCTTTTAATTGATTAATTTAAACATTGAAAAAAGGATTTTTTTTGGTTGGTCATGAAGATAAGACCATGCGTGAAAAAAAATTACTGGACAAAAATTTTAGAACTAGTTAGTGTGCTCATAGCTTCAGGTGTGTAGACATCTATGTAGCTCATTTTCGGTATTAAATTTCAGATTTTAAAATGGCTAAGGGTAAATTTTTAACAAAGTTCGAACAGGGCAGGATTGTTGAACTTCAAAGACGTGGTCTTTCGCAACGAGCCATTGCAAATGAAATTGGCTGTAGCACAACTGTCGTTGCTAACTTCATTACAAATCCGGATGCGTATCCTTCTAAAAAAATCAATTGGTATATTTAATAAAATCTCACCATCTCTAGACAGACGCATTAGACGAGAAGTTAAGAGATTCAAGCTTAACATCAAATCAGATAAAAGCGAATACAGATGCTGAATACAGCTCTCGAACAATTCGACGGCATTTAAATAAGAAAAGGTTTAAGAACTTGAAACGGCTGCAGAGGCCTCGCCTTCTTTTTCGCCATAAAACCTCCCGTTTACAATTTGCTTCCGATTATCAAACTTGGGATGTGAATAAATGGGAGAAAGTTGTTTTCAGATGAGAAAATATTCAATCTTGATGGCCCAAACGATGTGCCAAAAGAAATTTTCACAACACGACACAGTGGAGGTGGATCAATTATGGTCTGGAGTTCATTTTCGTACATTGGAACTCTTGAGTCACAAGAGGTAAAATGTTGTCAAACAGTTATTTTGACATTTTAAGAAAGGCATCGCTAATTACTGAAGGCCCTCATCTATGTGGAGAAAACTGGATTTTCCAGCAGGGCAATGCTGCAATCCGTAACGCTCTCCAGATCGAAACCCAATCGAGAATGTTTGTGGATGGATGGCAAAGATGTTTATAAACATGGATCGCAATTTGAAACTGTGGATGCTCTTCGTGCTGCAGTTTATGCATCCTGGGCGAACATCCAAAGCATCCTCATGCAGAAGTTAATAATGAATATGCCAAAGTGAATTTTTGAAGTAATTCACGAAAATGGAGGATATGAGAATTAAATTGTTGTTGTGACTTATTTGTTCTATATTTGCTATTTTTTATTTACATGGTCCTATCTTTATGACCAACCAAAAAAATCCTTTTTCAATGTTTGTTTAAATTAATCAATTAAAAGCTTAAAATGTTCACTTGTTTGTTGATAAACTACATCTTCTAATTAAATGTAAATGTTTCGCAAATATATTTTGATTAAAGTATTTCATATTTTTTTCTAACCCTTTTGTAATTGGTCTTAAGATTTTGACCAGGAGGTACATATATATATATATATATATATATATATATGTGTGTGTAGTATAAAGGTAACAAATCCGTTGGTATCTAATCCAAGTAGATCCTATTAATATAGAATATTAAAACTGATCCACAAAAAAGAGCTCAATTTATTATATATATTATTATATTATTACAGAGCAAATAATTAGTACACAATAAAATCAAAAATCACCTCATATGGGAAATAAGCTTATTTCGGCAGATGAAAATATAGGTCGTCTCATCTGTCTTATTCAACCCCAGTATGGACTGAGTTTGTGTCAGAAATAGAAATTTAACTGTGAAAGCTAAAAAAAAAAAAAAAAACCAAAAAACTAATACAGAATTTATGCCTTTCAATGTGTTTCAAAGGCATGAAATGGGTCAGGGGAGGGTGAAAGGTATTTGTCTTAAAGGGTAGAAGTTTTATAAAATTAAACCCAGATATTCACCTTATGACATTAATTTAACACTAAGAGAAGAATAAAAAGGGGGTTTAAAAATAACTTTAAAATATATAGATAAAAGGATGCAAGGGATTAAAAGAGAGATCTTAGAGTAGGGGAACATTTATAAATTAACATAGTGTAAAGAGAAGAAATTATAATTAGTTTTACATTTGACATTTGAAGAGTTAGAGGGGAGCGAATATTATGGAAATATAGTAGCTAATTAAGTTAAACCTATATTAGGAAAATTTGAATTGGTTTTTATGTCAAAATTTTAACACTAATTATTTCTCTGATTCAATAGTTGGCTTTGATTATTGTATTTTATTATTCTAATCTTTTCTTCTAAACATGTCACACCTTTCTCTAAGACTATTAGGGGTATATGTGGAACCTATAATCTTCCAAACTGTCTGTGGGCTCAAACCTTTCTCCTTTAATTCCCAGAATTTCTTTGAAAGAGCTGTCTGGTGTTTTAGTTTAGATTTATATATGCTAGTAACAATAACCAACATTGTGTAGACCATATCTTTTAATTTTAGAGATTTGTCTATGCTACAGAAATGGTTTCTTCACAAAATTGTAATTAAAACAATCCAATTGGTTTAAACATTTTGGTGGTTGTTTATTTCATATATATCATTTTAATAGAATTTATTTTTAATCAAAATCACCCAATGCAAGACAGTAAAGCCACTAAGACACGATGGGTTTCTGGGTGTGAAAGACTTACAAAACAGAAGCATTATTAAGGAGTGGCGGCATTAGAAAGTAATCAAGAAGATGATAATGATTGACATTGCATTTACATTTTTGGAGATCTAAGTTGGCTGGAAAGTGTGGAGCTGGAAGAGAGTTCCACAAAATTTTCAAATTAAAATAAAGCATTTGCACTTTCCTTTAAAACCCTTATCTGTTCCTTTCTCTCTCTCTATTCTTCTCTCAACTAATGAGAAGGCAACTCACATATAAAAAGAAAAGACCAAGCCTAGCCAAAAACACCAGATGCTTTCAGGATAAGAGTCTACTTATTTGTGACTAAAAAATACCAAAAATCTGGGAGCCTCCACACATAAATTCCATTATAAAAAAAAAAAAATGAAAAAGGAAGGAACCCTGGAAAATAAAATAATTTTTGCAAATCAAAAAAAATTGACACAGATTTTTTATGTTAGCTGAAACCAATGTTTGCACCAAATTTTTAAGCCTGGTCAAAAGGATATAAACCTGACACGTCTGGGCTAGAGGCAAAAGGCTTGATGAGAGGATGGAACAAAAAGAACACTACCACACAGAAACCAACCATGTGTGATGCTTGAAGAAGCAGTTAAGAGGACATTTGCTACTGATATTTCTACCCAGCTCAGGGTGAGAAAAACACAGTAGATTGACATTGACCTAATTTCTGAGATTTATCAGGTCATCCCATAAGTTCTGTCCGAATTTTAACTTTTTGTTAAAATGAACGAAATTTAAACAGTATTTTATAATGTCCAATGGAGCTGAACATTATTTTTATGTTTACATGCATTTAAACTGATCAAATTTTATTTCAGAGAACAATAAAATTAAATTTTGTTTGATTAAAACCCTGCTAACATGGAAGTACCCAACAATCATTTGAGGCACATAATGTTTTATGAGTTCAAGAAAGGAAACTCAGCAGCCGAAGCGGATAGAAACATTCACGCAGTTTATGGAGAGAAATGTGTGAATGAAAGAACTTGCAGAAGATAGTTTGCAAAATTCAAAGATGGAGATTTCACCCTTGAAGATGAAGATCGAACTGGACGTCCAGTTGAGTATGATGAAAAGCTTCTTGAAGCAGCCCTTGAAGAAAATCCTGCTTTATCAATTGAGGAATTGGCAGTAGTTCTCAGTTCAAACTATACAACTGTTCATCGTCATCTTCAACAACTTGGAAAAGTTCCTAAACTTGGAAAATAGGTGCCTCATGAATTGTCTGAAAACAACTTCAAATCCCTAGTTGACATCTGCTCTTCTCTCCATTCTCGCCAACTTGTTTCACCTTTTTTGGATAGACTTGTGACTGGCGACAAAAAATGGATCTTTTATCAAAATGTTAAGCGTCGTAGACAGTGGATTGGTAAAGGGGAAGAATCCCAGCCACAGCCGAGAAGGGAACTTCATGGGCAAAAGGTTCTTCTTTCAATCTGGTGGGATCGCCAAGGAATAATCCACTTTGAATTCTTACCACGTAATGCAACAATTAATGCTCAAATATACTGTCAACAATTAGAGCGTTTGAACCAAGCTTTGAGGAAAAAAAGACCTGCTCTAGTGAATCAAAAAAAGGTGATGTTTCATCAGTAAAATGCGCGACCCCACACAGCAAGAATCACGTCACAAAAGATTGAAGAACTTGGTTGGGAGAAAATTCCTCATCCACCTTATTCTCCCAATCTTGCTCCTTCAGACTACCATTTGTTTTGTAGCTTACAGAATAATTTGGAAGAAACAGCTTTTGTAAAACAGGAAGTTTAAAACTGACATTTGTGAGTTCTTTGAATCAAAGCTAAAAGAATTTTACAGTAATTGAATTAGTAAGCTTGTTAATAAATGGAAGGAAGTCATAGATAATCAGGGAAAATACATTGTTGATTGAATCTGTAATGTAACATTTGGTCACTTGTTTTCTTTATTCAAAATTCGGACAGAACTTATAGGATGACCTGATAGATTAAATATATTTAGTTGAAGCCATTAAATAACCCATAGAGATGTTAATATGCCATTAAACAAAATCATCCAAGCAATCTGTATAGCTGAATATGTGAATGAAATTAAAATGGTGGTCCGTGAGAAATTGACATCAGCAGCATTTTTTTCATTTATTTGTAATAAATAGCAATTTTTTTAACAGGTCAGTATAATTAAGCAACAATCCAACAATGAAAGTGTTAATAATGAGTGATATACATTTATCAGTATTATTGTACATGGTGGTCTTAAAGTCTTGTCACCCCTACATAATATATAGCTTTCTAGTTCAGATGGTTGACACAAGCTCATACAGTTTGGAAGAGAGGTAAGGGGGTGACAGAACTTTCGGACCACACTGTAGTTTTAAAATACCATTTAAAAAAGAAAAAGAAAAAAAATGGTGAAATATGACAATGACATGGTCGCTGTAAGTCTTCAACGGATGTGCGTATCACAAGTAGAAAGAACTTTGTCATTTAAGAAGACATGAATTCATGAGAAGCTTTAGAAATCCACAGAATGTTTTTTGTCCCAATAATAAAATTAGGCAGGTTTATGCATAGAGCTGAACGTCTCCATATTGTTGTGACATTTAATCCTTGAAGTAAGAAAATGTCACAAACGAAACAGTGACATGTGTGTTGATTATCAGGTTGGTGTGCAAATGAGAGAAACGAAGGGCAGGGGGGAGTTCAGTAGTAAAATAGAAAGAAACAATTACGTCTATTCATTTCACATTCAAAAGGACATTTCGCTGTGACTGGGGGGGTCAGCATAGTCAAGGAATATCAATTCACTTCTAGGCAATACACTTTTTATTTTTACACACACATTCATTTATTCATTCTTTTTTACCACACTTTCTCTTTCTCTTTCCCTCCCTCCTATTCTCTTTTATTCTCTTTCTACCCCTCTCTTTTTCTCTTATTTTCTTTCTTAGTTCACGCCTTTCTTATTTTCTTTCCTCTTCTCTCTCTCTCACTTTTCCTTTTAATTCTTATTTTCTCTTTGTCTCTCTCACCTTTTCTGTCATCATCTTTCTTGCTCTTTCTCTTGCCTTTCTTTTCTGTCATCCATTTTCTCTCTTCTTTTTTATTGTTTACTCTCTTGGCTTTTCTGTCATCCTCTCTCTCTCTCTCTCTTCTCCAACCTCTTGTATTTTCTCTCTGCCTCTATCGCCATCTCTTTCTTTCTCTTGTATTTTTAACAATCTTTTTTTCTCTCTTCTTTTTTCCTTCATGTCCCCCTCCTACATTTTCATTTGTCTCTCGTTTCCCCCTCTTCTATTGATTCTTTCTTTCTTACTCTTCTCTTTCTCTCACTCATTCAACTTCCTACCAAATGCATTCCTTCTACTCAATTTTTAAATCTTTTTATATCTTAACTAGCAGAGCTACCTGGTGTTGCCCGGGATTTAAAAAGTTGAAAAATAAATCTATAATAACAACAATAAAACTTCAAATTTATTTATTCAAACATAAAAATATCTTGAAACAGTTTTTACATTGCAATGTTTCTTGGTAGATTCTTGTGGAACATAAACAAACAAATTGGTTTTACTTCCCACATGTGAACAACTAACATATAACTGCCCATTAGAGATAAAAGATACTTATAACTGTAGTCCAGTAGCTAATAGTCTGACCTTATGCTTTGTTAATAGACATAGCAAAACTTACTTGTATTGGAAATTGAAGTCTCCTAAACATGAATAGAATATCCAACCCTGATGGAATAAGAAGAATCCTTGGAATAAAGTCATCCTTGCCTTTTCCATACCCCATAAGAACTGATGTCTCAATTACATGTGGCATCAACTTCTTAACCAGAAGTCTGGTGCCATTATAAAGTCTTGGTGAGTCCAGATTCCATAATAGCATTATAGGCACCCCCATCTTGAGTTCCAGTCTATGTGAAGGTAATCTGGGAGGTTTTAAAGAATTTAGAAATTCTGTTGGATAATTGACCACCTGTTTCAGATCTGGAATGGTATCCACTGACCTGTAGATATGAGATGTTTGTGGGAGGGACTGCAGCAGTTGGTCATTGATTCTGTCAACTGCTTTGTTCTTTGGAGCCAATATTTTCCTGTCAAATAATCAATTGTAGTTTTTGTAATTATGTTGAAGGTTTGGGAAAACCTTGGCCTTAAGTTCATCCGTATTACTGACAACATTGCAGCCATATCAACTGCATATTGATGAAAGAGATCTCGAGAGTGATGATGATTGAATAAGTTGCTATGCATCATAAAACAGTGTGCATGGCATTCCTTACACAATACTTCTTTGTTTAACATATCCTCCAGTTTGCTTGGATTACAATGTTTAATACCAAAATAGTAAGCATCTTTCCCATTAACAAATAGCAGAGGATGCCAAGGAACATCATAAGATGTATGTGCTTCATTAATTCTTTGAAGCTTGTTGTCCTGTTGCTTTAGAACAATGTCTCTCTTGTTATGTTGGTCACCATGAAGAACCATTGCTATTTCATTGCAAGAAGGTTCATTAAATTGTCCCAGATTCTGTCCGGTAGATTGCTTGTCTGCATCAATGATCACATTAAAGTTGTAAGTAGGAGCATTTTCCAAAGCACATTTAAAACTTTTGACATAGCTTTTTTCTACAATGTATCATCTCTTGAAGTCTCAGTGTAAGCTCAAGCCTGCTGCCAGGTGAAATAGAATTATGCTTGGCCACTTGTTCTTGGAAGCTGCCAACAAAATATAACTGAAGAAATTGTGGCTCTTCATTTGTTAATGGCTGTAGGGATACAATCCTATGGTACAGACTCTGCACTTTAAAAGTGGCTGCACCTTCCTTAATAATGTTAATCCTGAATGAAGTCATTTGAAAAGGATGTGTACCTAATGTTTTCCAAAAAAGTGTTGACTCTTGAGTGCTGTTTGAAAGAAACTTCAAAGGCTTTGGCGGATCTTTCAATAATGGAATCCTGACTTTGCCACTCGAACAACACATTCCAGGTATTTCTCCTTCAAACTTCTTGGTTTCCTATTTACCACAGACTTCACATGTAGTGCCTATTGTCACTTTCATTTCAGAAGTGAAGTCATACTCCAGCTGATAGTTAAAGGCAACATGGTACCACTACTCCCAGGTAAGGGCAGCTCTTTTTGTAATTAAAATTTGTAAAAAAAGAAAACAATTCTTCTAAAAATTCATCAGAAATTTTTTTTCACTTCAGATAATATTATTCTTAACCTTAACATATATTATTGATAAAAGCAATTAAAAGCTTTTCTAATTCAATAATGTCTTAGTTTTATTGGTTTTGTATTTTACAATTCAGAGCTGATTTTCGGTAACTGGTCATTCGATTTTAGGTTGTTTGTATTTATTGTTCTTTTTGTTTCTATTTTTCTTTTTTTTATGCTTTTATCCTTTATTAATTTGCTTTAATTTTTGATCATTTTCTTTAATTAATTTTTTAATATATCATTTTCTGTTTTCCACCAATTTTTCTTTATGAAAAGACATGTGCTCAGTCGTTGTACAAACAAACATACACATGCAAAAAAGACTTACAGGTGCAATCTTTCTTTTGGGAAAGGTATGTATCCTCTTCATCTCCCTCCAGCTATGGGTAAAATAGCAGGACAGACTGGGTTCTATAGCCTTGGATGGCAACTGGTCTAGGAGAAGGACAACTCTGAATTCAAAACCTGCGGAGGGTCGTTTTGGGAACCTTGTGGCATGCATTCGTTTGCACAAAGTTTCTGTATTCGTCCCTCAAAAAGTGTGGCTGGTCCTGCACGAGGCCTTCACCACTATAATCAAATCTCATGTGTCGGGATGTCGGTTTCCTGGGGACTTATCGGCTGACCTCATATGTCGAACGCGACAGGAGAGTCGATTATATATATATATATATATGTATGTTTTTTTTTAAGTAAGGTGAGTAAATTTCCATCTTTTCTTCAGTTTGCCCAAATTTGAAAGGAGTGCATAAAGGAAGTTTTTATTAAAATGACATGCACTCAGCCATTGTACAAACATACATAATTACAGGCACAATCTTTTTTACACACATATATATATATATATATATATATATAAAATTTATTTCATTAGAAAGACCAGTGAAAATTTCAGTTTTCCTATTTGAATTTTCTGATGAATCTTATCCTTAATTCTTCAGTTAATGATTGAATATGCTCATGATGAGTTCTGTGACAATAAAATATCTATAGAAATTCCCCTCTCACATTATTAAATATTTGAGCTTAACAACTTGAACAAAATATTGCAATACCAACCATAAATATGAATGCTGGTTATTATTTTAAGAAGTAAGGGGGTACAAATTAAAAGATGAAATTGACAACTTTTCCATTTCACTGAAACAGACAACTTTTCCATTTCACTGAAACAGACATCTTCTCTTCTTTCATTTTCTTACTGGAACCAAGTCACCTCATTGATATGCCTTTTTTTGTCTTCCTACTCCATCAAAATGGAACAGTCCATTATTTAGGAGGTATTGGCAGGAGACGTAAAACACTTTTTTTCTTTCTTTCTCTCACTGAAACCAGTAGTGTCTCTGATATGTCTTCTCTACCTTTTCACTCATTCAAAATGGAATAGGGCATTACAATCATTCAAACTAGGGGAGGGACAAGAACAATTATAATAAGGTATTTCAAACATCTTCTTCTTCCTCCATTCTCACTTTTCTCTCTCTCTCTCCCCCTCCCTCCATGACTCTCTCTCTCCCCTCCTCCATGACTCTCTCTCCCCCCCTCCATGACTCTCTCTCCCCTTCCTCCATGACTCTCTCCCCTCCTCCATGACTCTCTCCCCTCCCTCCAAGACTCTCCCTCCACAACTCTCTCTCTCCTCCAAGACTCTCTCTCTCCCTCCACAACTCTCTCTCTCCCTCCACAACTCTCTCTCTCTCTCTCCCTCCGGCTCTCTCTTTCTCCCTCCCGACTCTCTCTCTCCCCTCCACGACTCTCTCTCCCCTCCCTCCATGACTCTCCCTCCCCCCTCCCTTCTCCCCCCCTCCATGACTCTCCCCTCCCCTCAAGACTCTCCCTCCACAACTCTCTCTCTCTCCCTCCCGACTCTCTCTCTCTCTCCCTCCACGACTCTCTCTCTCTCTCCCTCCACGACTCTCTCTCTCTCTCCCTCCACGACTCTCTCTCTCTCTCTCTCCACGACTTTATGATAAGACGTGTATATGCCTCTGTACCAACTCAATGTTCTTTTATTTTTAATACACCTACAACCTGTAAGGAAATTCTCCCAAGCCACCTTTGATCTAAATAAATAAATGGAAATTTATTTATTTTCTACATCCTGGTTTTCCCTTTCAATCATTCTCGATTCATTTGTCACAAGAGAGAGACAGAAGAATGGGAAAAGAAAAATATGCCAGGAATGCAATGTAAATAAAAATGAAAAAAGTAAACATGGACCTATGTGCCCACAAAAAAAAAAAAAAAAAATGGAACAAAAGGTATAAAAATTTTTTCCTCAGGTGCAGTTAAGTCCCTTAAATCTTTATATCTTGCAAATGTAATTTATATTTGGATTTAACTGTTACAAGAATGTGCAAGTAACAAGTGGGATTTGTACTTCATTTGGTGGCATTTGTACTCCATTAATATCAGAAAGAACAGCTCCAATAAACGTGTGGTCACTATGGTTGTTACTTACAAAAGAAGAAGCTTTCAGGATTGAATTGACCAATCAGAAATCCTGACTGTACAGTCGTTAGCCAATCAGAGATCTGGATTACAAATGGTTTCAAGCTCAAAGTTGCTCTTTGAATGGTAAAGGGTTATCTCCCTTTACTGCCACTTTCAAATTTTTATAAAGGATAATTTTTCTTGAGTATTTAAACAAAGAGTATCACATGGCAAACCAGCCTCAGACATTATTTACAATGTACCATTTCAACACATACATTTTCACACACACACACACACACACACATATATATATATATATATATATATATATATATATAATCGACTCTCCCGTCGAGATTTGACATATGAGGGTCAAGCAGATCAGTTTCAGGAAACCGACAGCCCGACACCGGCACATGATTTGATTATAGTGGTGAAGGCTTCGTGCAGGACCATCCACACTTTTGAAGGGGCTGAATACAGAGACCTGGGCACAGAATGCCACAAGGTTCCCAAACAACCCTCCGCAGGTTTTGAATTCAGAGTTGTCCTTCTCCTAGACCAGTTGCCATCCAAGGCTATAGAACACAGTCTGTCCTGCTATTTTACCCATAGCTGGAGGGAGGAAGAGGATTCATACCTTTCCCAAGGTGTATATATATATATATATATATATATATATATATATATATATATATATAACTTTTGTGA